CTTGAAGAAAAAAAAAAAAAAAAAAAAAAAAAGGCCGCGTGGCCGCGTCAATTCCGGAACTTTGGTCTGACCAGAGACCGAATATTTTTTTTTTTTGGCCTAAGATATATCAGTTTTGTATAGGGAAAGACTTGTGGAGAAAGCTGTGTACAAAGTCTATGAGAAAAATTAATAATTCATAAATCCATAATAAATCACTTGATGACGTCACCATGACCTCACTCTTCGGGACACATCTTGGCTATAGGGACTATGCTTATGCCAACTTTCAATGATATCTGACAAAGATTAATGCCAAAAGTGCTTTAATACGTCACTGTCTATGCGCATGCATGAACATAAAATCTGACAAAGTTAGCCGAAAATCGGCTAAAACGGTCACTGTGGACAGGATTTGACCTCAGCAACACGTGCGCTGCAGGCTGACTGACATACGATGTATGTGCCTATGTACATGTACAACGTACGTGCATGTACATGTACATGTACATTGTGGACGTCCTGTCCTGTGCATGTTTTGAAGCAGAGGTATTGTCAACGTGAAGTTTTAAGCGTGTGCAGGGTATGTTCGAGTTCGCTTATCGCCTCGAAACTTTAAAATGTTTTAGACCTACCCTTAAATCTACAATTAAAGTAAAAACTAATATAAAAACTAACATGGTTGATTTTTCAGGAATTTTCTAAGGAAAAAGGGTCTTTTCATTATAACTTCCGGTCTGATGACGTCATTCGCCTAAAACTTCGCACACGTCTTAAGGTGGTCAAAGTCATTATATACACCAATATTTAGGCGATTCTGACAAACTTCGCCACAGACATCTATTCAAAATACATTTTTGCTAATTTTCAACCTGTCGCTAGAGGGCGCTCGAAGATTGCATGACGTCATCGGTAGATGATTTGAAGAATACTATCAGCCAAGAGACTAACACCGTTAAAAGCAAGTTCATATCTATTACCACTTTTAAATAATAAGCCACTTCCGGTTTGGGCCTTTTTCGACCGGAAGCAAGGGTCACGTGATTGCACGCACACTAAATGAAATGAAGACCTCAACCTACTCTACCACTTGCCGGCAACAGAATGCTGCGGACGCGTACGGTTGATTTCTTATGCATTTTTAAATATTAAAAGTGTCACAATTTAATTGCCTATAAATAAACACAGGATGACGTCATCATGACGTCATCATTCCACAATGTTGTTTGAATTAGGGTCTTTGCTTGGACAAAGAGTGGTGTAAATGAATAACTGGCAAAGAGTCGAAAATGCCCTTTGAAAAGCGACAATTTTTTTTAAATTTCTGTGTACAAAGTCTATGGGAAAAATTAATTATTCAAAAATCCATAATAAATCACTTGATGACGTCACAATGACGTCACTCCTCGGGGCACATCTATGCTATAAGGACTAAGCCTATGCTGACTTTGAACGATGTATGACAAAGATGAATGGCAAAAGTGAGGGGCAGAAGAAACGTGTACAATGTCTATGGGATTTGCCGGGGAATAAAAAGAAGAAGAAGCAAGAAAAAAAATGAGAACAAAAAGAAAGGCTTTTCCGCAACTATGCGGAAAAGCCAAAAAAAAGAAGAAAAAAGAAAAAAAAAATCTTAACGAAAACAAGAGCTGTTTCGGTGTGTCACCGAAACAGCTAAAAAGAAAAAAAAAAATCTTAACGAAAACAAGAGCTGTTTCGGTGTGTACACCGAAACAGCTAAAAAGAAAAAAAAAATCTTAACGAAAACAAGAGCTGTTTCGGTGTGTACACCGAAACAGCTAAAAAATAGAACTGTATGTCTGTTGAAACAGAACATAGGGCTTTTCTGCATTTATGTTAATTATCAATTTCAAGGCTTCTAATGCAAAAAGAATTTTGAACTTTGCATGTTTTGTCAGTGTGATATGGCAAAAAATATTCAAAAAATCAAAAATATACATAAATCGTAAAAAATCATAACAAAAAAGGTTATGGCGTCATCATTATCTCATGTAATGATGACGTCATAACATTTATTTTTGCATCTGGGTCTAGCCACATACTAAGTTTCAGCCCAATCAGATTCGCCATTCATAAGATATAAAGGCTAACAGTTTGCCCCTTTAAGATGACATTACATGCTCTGTGATGATGTCATCGTAACAATGCTTGCCATTGCACGTTATTTTATTGTGCTCTTTGCTTGTATCAAGTTTAAAGCCAATCAGATGAATAGTAGTGTAAAATTTGATGAGCAGAATAAAAACTGTAATTTTCAAAAAAAAAAATTCAAATAATGACGTCATTGTGACGTCATTTCAGATTTTGTGTACTGGTGCTATTATCTACCTACCCACCAATTTTCATGACAATCAGATCTTCCCTTATTTGTGTTTTAAAATATCGCATTTTTGCTGACGTAATCATGATGTCATCCATTTTCCAAATTTTGTGCATATATCTGTTGTTGCCCAGCGAACCTAATACAAAAAATATTTTGAACTTATCATATTGCGTTAGTGAAATATGGCAAAAATCTTCGATGACATGATGATGTCATGATGACGTCATCTCAAATTTTATCTATAACACTTCCCGGTCTAACCACATGTTGAGTTTCAAACCAATCGGACATACCGTTCAGTAGATATAGGGCTTTGAAATATGCAACTTTGCGATGACGTCACATGACCCATGATGACGTCATTATGACGTCGCTCGTCCGCATACATCTATGCTGTATGGACTATGCCTATGCAAACTTTGAACGATATGCAACAAAGTTTAATGACAAAAGTGGCGTGTAAAATAAACGTGTACAAAGTCTATGGGGAAAAAAAGGGGAAGAAGAAGAAGAATCAGAAACAAAGTTTAATGACAAAAGTGGCGTGTAAAATAAACGTGTACAAAGTCTATGGGAAAAAAAGAAGAGGAAGAAGAAGAATCAAAAAAAGAAAGAAAGGCTTTTCCGCAACAATGTGGAATAGCCAAAAATCAGAACAAAAATAACGGCTTTTTCGCAAACTTGCGAAAAAGCCAATTATATATTCAGTTCATTTTTTTCCTTTCAGATTTTAGTAAAAATGTGAACACAAAGGTTTGGTAATACTATGTTTGTTAGGGGTGCATACATATGTTCCCCAATACCGATGTTCCCCAACCCTAACCCTTAACCTAACCCTTTATTCCTAACCCCAATCCTAAGGATTTTGGGGAACATCGGTATTGGGGAACATCGGTTAGACCCCGTTTGCTAGTATACAAGTAGCCTTTCGCCAAGGCCATCGTGGCTTAACTTGCATGTCGGCATAAGACAAAGCAGCGAAAGAGGGGAAGCGACTGGAGCGGGAGACCACACACGCGAGTGGCGAAGCCAGGAGGCTTTTCCAAACTTGTCAAGAATTTCTTGTGTGTTTCTTTATTATCTCGATAATTGCTACCCTAAAATTCCAACCAATCTTTAGCCTTTTAGGACACGCGTGCATGGCTACTACCTGGACGCGTCGACGCGCCCGGTTGCTTGCACAACATTTAAAAACAAAACATGCGAGTCTCGTTTTCCACGAGATCGTGACCGCGTAATTGTTCTTTCATAATCTTACTTTAATATTACTAATTAAAGTATTGCAAGAAATTATTAAATTTTGATTGTATAAACTATTTTTTTTCATCCGAACTTATTGTAAGTTGCTCTTACGCCTTCCTTACTAACCCTTCTTTCACAAATGGAAGCAACTATGCAAAATCCACGTTATGATTGGTTAACCTTTCAACACTCTACTTATTTGCATAAACAATAGGAATGATTCCACAAAATCAAGTTAGAAAAGGCCTCGTGGCTTCGCCACTCGTGCATGTTGACTTAATCTTTGCTCCAGTCGCTTCGTGATTTCGCAGCTCCGCCGATCTAAGCCATGGCCTCGGCGAAAGTCTAGTATACGAGTCTATTTTGCATGTCAGGGGGCGAACGCCCCGTGCAAAGCAGTGAGTATCCGCACCTTGCAGTCACACGCTGGCTTTCGCAATTATGAGTCTTTTCGTGAGAAACTTTCCTAAACTTGTCGATAAAACAACGTTTTCATGAAAATTGACACGTAAGTAAGTGGCATTGTGGTAGTGTGTCTTTATGTGCATAAGGTTGATTTCGAAAAAGCTCAGACGAGGTTATGCTGTAACCCCATGCAACTTGTAGCCCTGCAAATTGTCGGAACCCCATGCTAATTGTTGTTATCCAAGGCAACTTGTTGTTACCAATCGCAACTTGTTGTAACCCCAGGCAAATTGTTGTAATCCCACGCAAAGTCTTGTTACCTCTAGCAAATTGCTGTAACCCCAAATAAATTGTTGTATTAACCTCCCGCAAATTGTTATAACCCAGGGAAAATGGTTGTAACCCCAAGCAACTTCTTGTTATTCCAGGCAAACCTTTGTAACCCCCATTCTTATTGGTTTTGAAGATCCCTCCCTTCGCTTTCCCTCCGTTTATGAAGTTTCACCTACTTCTTGAACCACTGTCGGAATTGACAGGTGACAGGTCTTGCCCATAACAGTTTTAATGGTCTTCCTGTATGCTTAGAGAAGCAGCATTTTGTTTGATTCTGGGTGGACCGATGCCTTTGAAATCTGTTGTACTTTTGGTTTTGGCCTGGTTTTCCTTACTACTTTGCGGAATGAGATGAAGTCTTTTCAGTACCTTGATGATCATTTCAATAATTCACAAATACAGTACTTGCAATGGCAATTGTACAAGATTGAACTAAAACACAAGGAGTTTAAGATAATTTTTTTGGAACTTTGTTACATGGTGAGTAAATGATACCTTTAATAGTATTAGCATCCCATATGGTGGTTGGATCACTCGATAAGAAGCACTAGGTTTTATTCTCCTGCCACATGCAAGTTTTCTGCAGGCTTTCCAGTGTGTTCAAGTAACGCCTGATAAAACATACGAAAAACCTATCAGAAAACATAGAGCATAAAGTCCTCGTATTCAATGTTATCTTTTGATTTTTTTTCTTTAGATGTTGACGAGTGCAATACGGCCAACTGTAACTCATCTCATTGCATTGACGGCCTTGGCTCGGCCAAATGCCTGCCGCAGTAAATAAAACCAGACCGCCTTGATATTCAAAATGACGCATTAACATTATTAGGGTCTCGGTATTTGGTTTTTCGTATTTTATTTGTGGATAAGTCAGTGTCTCAACTTTAACTATTTATGTAAAAGGCAAAGTAAGGAAAATTATATATTGAGCTTGACAGTATATCACCCATTTACTAATTCAGAACATTTGCAGATACTCAAAAGAGCAACTGCCAAATTAGGACTTAACCGTCACTGTGAAAACACGTTTTTTTTCAAATGCTACGTCAGCAAGCGCAAGCCAATGACCTCAAGAGCATTGGGGTACGGTTTGCGATCACAGGATTTTAAGACAGACAGATTCAGCAGGCTTCATTTTGATTAAATTCAGTCCATGTAGGGCCTAAACATTAGTTTGTTTGTTTAACGGAAAAATAATAAACAAAACGCGGGTTTAGCATTGTGCATGATTCATTTCCTGAAAGCCCAAAGATTTACCCAGTGTAATTTCTTTTCTCAGTTCGGTTGAATCGGTTTTAGGGTTTATTTTCGATATAATCTTCTGTAATTGATTTTTCATTCAGATTTGTTTGCAGGTATGTTAACCAGTGATGTGGTGCCTTGATGCTGGGCCTTGGCCTTAAGGCTGCCTTAAGGCTGGATTTTAGGGCCTTGGCCTTGGCCTCGAGGCTTGAGGGCAAAAGCCTTGGCCTTGGCCTTGGCCTTGAGGGTTCAGGGCCTTGCAATTTTGAGTCAAGGCTCTTCAAGGCCCATAGATGCTTGCATTTTCCAGATAAATCTGTTCGAAATTTTGCTGTTACCATTTTAATCGTATTACCACGGAAGAGGGAAGCACCCTATAGATTTGTGTGTTGGGCACACTTCCACTTTTGTAGCATCACATTTTGTTACCATTGTAGTAGATTTGCTGCAAAAATATTCTGTACACTTGTGGGGCTAATGAGATGATCACTTTAATTGCACATAACTATGGAATAGATCTGATTGGTTGTATAGGCCTATGTCTCCCTGATAAGTGCTAAAGATTTGCATGTATCTGTTTTAGATAATGCTGATATTTCTGACCATGTTGGGCCAGCAAATAAATATTTCCCAAATCAGTTTCTTGGATCCCCCTTTTGTTACACTTGGGAGAATTGTGTGTCAATATAGAAGTAAATCATTATTTTGTTTTAGTTAAACCATATCGAAGACCTGAACTTATACTTTAATAGATACAGTGCAGTCATAAAACGGTGTAGGCCTATGCGAGCATGTTGATTGCAATTAAAGAAATGTTGTTCTTCGTAACGAGCAATTTGTGATGATAAGGGCGGATCCAGGGGGCCAAAAGGGGCCATCCCCCCCCCCCAAAAAAAACGAAACCATTTGTTTTTTAGTGACGTCGTAATAAAGGCAGGCAATGAGTACACAACCATCTTTTCCTCAAAAAACATCGGTTAAAATGGTCAGAAATTGCCTCAAATCGCACCACAGAGCATCTCGAATCCAAACATTTTCCCGGACCCTTAAGCGGGCCCCAAAGCCCAAGCCGTATTTTTTTGACCCACTTTTTTTTTGGGGGGGGGGACCAACATTTATTTGCCCCCCCCAAAAAAAATTGTGTTCTGGATCCGCCCTTGCGTGATGATGTGTCACTCATGTGACTATAATAAGTTCTATATCAGTGGTCATTACATAAAACAGGGCCTTGGCCTTGGCCTTGGCCTTGAGGGTTAAGCCTTGGCCTTGGCCTCGAGGCTTGAGGGTCAAAGCCTTGGCCTTGGCCTTGGCCTTGAGGGTCAAAGCCTTGGCCTTGGCCTTGGCCTTGAGGGTCAAAGCCTTTGCTCCAACACTGAATATTGTTAACAATATCTTAGTTTCAATAGGATGTGGTTTTTCGGTTAATACTATACAGATATAATTTCCAAAAAACTAAATGATAAAGCTCGTTGCAGAGGTAGGGATATACACAATAGCAAAAATGTGTTGGGTTTTTAACAACGTCTGTAAAAGCTGCGGCTATTTGTTCTGAATATTTGACAAGCCGGTTATGACTTCAGTGAATAATTCAATACAATAAAACTGCACATTACAAACATGGTGTTCGGATTGAGTTCATGCGCGTTCGCTGATAGGCGGCTTTTTAATGGAAGCTGGTGCTGATGTTACGGCTGATGTACAGCGCCTCCCAAACTGCCCGCAACATTTTTGGAAACACGTACTGCCATTATTTTTTTTTTATATCATTTTAAAGCTTGGAATCTTAACTTCATTCCTGGTAAGTTTTTGTATTGAAATTATTTGTGTTCATAAAAGGGCATGCCAAAAACAAACACAACCGATTTCAAGAAAATCAATCATTCGCATTTTTTGCTTCATTATGTTCATGATGTTAAGATCTCGTTGTCCGTTACCTATCGTGTTTCCTGTTCTTTTTAATCCACGTAGACTACACCTTAAATTAATTCACAATCTTGTTCCTTGTTTCAAGAGCGATGTATTTGTAATATAAATCAACTTTTTTGTAATTCCAACAACTTGTTGACTCGAGTTGGCATCTGATGTACCGCATCATCGATTTTCTTTGAAATTGGTTGAGTTTGTTTTCGTCATGCCTTTATTTGAACGATTCAAAACTCTTTAAATATTAAACCGATATTCGCCAAGGATAAAGTTACAATTCCAGGTTTTTAAATGGTACCAAAAAAATGACGCTGCAGCCTCGCACAAAAAATGTTTATCATTGCAAGCTTTGTGCTGGGAGTGCTGAGTCTGTACAAGAAGGCTGTTGCCAATACATGTCCATAATATGTGCAGTTTCCACTTCAGCAAATGCCGTGCAGCCATGGCTCCTAATGGTTTAAATCCCTTCTCCCTTTTCAAGAAAGAAGTCTCTCATGGTCCTCTCCGTATTGGACATGGTGTCGGTATTTCTAACCCCTTCCCCTTCACACCGCGGTATGAATGCGTCCCGCGTTGCCCATCAGACTTCACCGGAAAGCCCAGCCTGCGCAGATAACCGAGCTTGTGATGGTGACGTGCTCGATTATCCATGGAATTGGTCCGGAAAGAAGATCAGCATACCAGATAACTAATCGTTACACCAGGGTGAGACTGAGAGAGCAGGTAGTGATGGGAACGTACTATTCGACACCGTGTTGTAGGACTCGAGTCCAGGACTCGGGCTTGAGTCACATTTTTCGTGACTCTGACTAGAATCGAATCACACTGGAAAATGATTCGGTCTCGGACTCGACCATGATGAGACGGACTCGAGCTTAGTGACTCATGTTGCGTATTTTCATCAAAAGAAACAAGCACAACGTTCCATATTTGTGCGACGAACGTAGCATTATTTGTTACTCGTAGACAAAACACGGCGCCGCGGAAAATTGTATCCGGGGGCCGCGCACGCACGCCAAGCGCCTGCACGACAAGCACCACCCTAAGGGCCCGGTGTCATGCCAAAATAGTGTCTGGAACCGAAGCGTGTCTGCCTACAGACAAAATGGATGATTGAAAAATAATTAAAAAAAAATTGATTAGTTTGGTGAACAACTAAGAACAAGTGACTCGTGACTCGGACTCGAGGCTTGTAACTCGGGACTCGACGTTGCGCTGGTGACTCGACTACAACACTGTTCGACACCATGAGAACGAGGTTGGTAAGAGAGATTGGATTCAAAATGTTAACCTTCTGAAACGCTTTGGTTAGCGTGACAACTATGACTTTCTTCGCATTAAAGCTTCAATCTTTGAAATACAAATTTTTCTTTCAATAATTGGACTTAATAATTGGCCTAATTCGAGCCTTTTTTTCCAGAATACGCCGTGTTCGGAAAGGGGGGGGGGGGCTCTAAATGTTGTAGACCTCAAGATGGTAATTGGTTGGGTAGATCATTTAAAACCAAAATGTAGGTGTCGCGCGAAAAACAAGCCAATTCAAAAGTCTTTCCCTTAAATGAGAGAACAATTTATGGTTCAAAGCAACTTAAAGCACTACATTTTTCAATATCTTTGCAACTATCTTTGGAGGCAGCCATGTGTAGCGGTGAAGCCACACATCAGTGCAGGGTCGCCTCGTCGGCAGGCCTCGCCGGTTAAATAAAACACGGATGATAAGTTCTTTTTATCTCCTAAGTTTCTTTATTCTTTATTTTGCAGGGCTCTTACGTGTTTAAGGCTTAGTAATGTATGATGATGAAAAAAAAGAAGAACCCTGAAATTACAATTAGTAAACAACTTAACGAGCTAGGGCATTTTTTTACACAATGTTCTATTACTAAAATTTGTTTTAAGAATAGATTTCGAAATATATACAATACAGATACATACCCCAGTATCAGGTTCTACAAAAGGATATGGTGGACAGCTCCTACAGCTCAATTCAAAACAAGTGATAGGCGCATAAAAGGCTTGAAAACTGCAGCCCGACAAGGCAAAAAGGCCTATATTCGTCTGTAAACGATAGTCGAACTGACTATAAAACGTGGTAGCTGTTTTGTCCCAAATGTATACATTTTGGGGCAATTGTTTACATTTCGTGGGGCTGAAGAAGTATGGGGCGCATATACTAAAAAAATTGGTATGGAGCTTCAATGATTTTTCCCGATTCCCCACATATATACGTGCATTTGGAACAGCTCCCTCTAGAGTACCTTTCAGTGACACACCCTTTGTCAAGGTGCACGATCAGATGTCTTGATTTACCTAATCTCCCTTAAAATCCCGCTTACCAGCCTATGGGCTTTATTCACGAGTCGGCCATGAATTGAAAGCGAGGTAAAATCTTCTTTTTGGGAGCCTGCGAATAGAAATGACAGCAATAATTAAAGTTCATCACAAATAAATACCAGTCTGCTCTGATGAATAATTAAAAATGTGTGACTAAACATGACCTACCTTTTAAGCCACATTAAAACAAATTGAAAGTGAGACTTGGAACGCATAAATTATCTGGCACCATC